GGGGATTACTTTGACCCAGAGGAAATGTCTGAAGACCAGATTGGGTTTTCAGCCACCAAACCCACTTACACCACCTACACCAACCACTATCATGACAAATCGACGGCTGTGGTGACGGACGTGGAGCACATTGTGTTTCTAGCCCTTTGGTTGTCATGCTTCGTGTTCTGCACGAAATCTCTACAGGTGACGAAGAAAATGGTCACCCTTGCTACTCAGCTTCATCACGGTCAAAACATCTGTTTGGCCGGATTAATACTAGTGAACCTATATGAGTCGATAAGCAGTGGGGCAACTCTATTAAAGGTAATAGAAAATAGAGCCAGCTTGCTGCTCGCTGGACCCTTCTGGCTACTACAACTATGGCTAAACGCCACTTTTGAGTCTTTTCTACCCCAGAAGGCTCAAATAAACGAACAGGCTCCTGAGATAGCCAGAAGGCGTATCGAAGGTACCAGGCTGGCTTTACTGACTCCCACTGAGGATGGGCTGGAACTCCAACAGACCTTTGCAAACTTCGTTTTGATGTTTGCATGGAGGAAGGAATTTACCTCGACCATGGCTCCTTTCGCCCGTCGAAAGTTTGGTCCAGGGTGGTTCACCAGGCCCCATCCCAAGTCATCAGAGGATCCTCACCTCGAAGAGCACACAACACTGTGGGAAGCATTTCTCACTCCCAGGATAATGCCATTGCGCTTCAAGAGTTCAAAGAATCATCTGAGCCTGATTGCTTATCAGCCAAATCTTGTCTCTCAACAGTTTGGCATTATCCAATCGCTTCCTTCTCCCATTTACCCTAGGGAGAAATCAGTGTTGTACTTTTGTAATGATTACATTGAGGATGCTTCTACCAAGCACATTGGTAGGTACGCTGGTCGGACTGTACTTTCATTGTTCGACTACCAACTCAACTTCCTTTGTTCACCATCTTTTGAAGACTGGTGGAAGAGTTATTATGTCGAAGAATTCTTCGATGAAAAGGATTTTGCGGACGAACTCCAGAAGTCCTTCGTTTTGGTTCTCGACAAAACAAAGAAATGTACGTTCACTCTTCAAATTATATTTGTCTTTCCATTTCGACTTATAACTTGTCAATTATAACTTGTGAACGTGTCTTCTTTCAGTTGTTCGAAAACCTGTGGCAAAGAAAGCCACAGACAGCCATCAGGGTGGAGGTCCCTCTACAAAACCTCTAGCACAGGTAACCAAATTTTTCTTGTTTCCTGCTAGTTTTAACATCCTGGTTTTCAATGTTGCGCTCTAAATCAACTCCATTTGGGGGTTTCAGGAACCTGCACCTAAGAAACGACCTGCATTAACGGTCGAATCTGCGAGTTGCGACGAGGATGAATCTCCCCCTGTTCCTCTCAAACAGAGAAAGGTGAAGAAGGCTGCCCCTGCTCCTGAGCCTCGACCTACGATCAAAATCAAGGTCGCAGGGAAAAAATCCAGGCCACCTCCTGTGATCATCGAAGAGCCCACGGAGGAGGAGCTGAACGTCTTGCTCAGCAAACCCGTTGAGAGTGATAACTCTAGCCCTGGGGCTGAAGTTCCTCTACAGGTAGTGCCTCCGACCACTTTTAACTTAGGTGTCGACAATCACGTTCGATTGTGTATCTCTCTAAACCAGAATATTTTTCCTCTTTTATTTTCAGGAGACCGCTGGAACTTCAGCACCAACTGGGCATCCTGGCGGGGGTTCCGGTTCCTTTGTAAACAGCGCGGGGGAACCCATTCACCATCCTTCCTCCTTCGTCAGTTCTGCTAATGAAACAAATCGAACTTCAGAGTCACAAGACTCTGCTGACCATAGTAGACAACGAGAGGAGGAACTGGTGGATGATGAAGTCCTTGCTGAAACAGAGGAACACCAGCAAGAGGAAGCTCAAGTGGTCAATAAGACAGAGGAGCAACATGATGAAGAGGGTCATGTTGATGCTGACGCTACCGAACAAACTCAGCCCCAAGCCACCACTACTGTAGGAACGACCACCTCGACAAAACCCAGGTCTAAAGAAGACTTGGCCCTTTTGAAGAAAACTGATCCAATTGGCTACCTGAATGCCATCATTGAGAGTAGGGAGAATTCATCTGACCCTAGTCATGATGCTTCTACTGCATCAGGGAAGTCCACTTCGACTTCTCCTCTTGATGAGGTTTTGAAGAAGTTCAAGGCTCAGTTCTTCAAAAAGGATCTAATGAAGGCTTTGGAGGGGGATCCTACTGCCCCGTCTTGTCTGGGAGCTGTTCTGGGTGCAGTTGATTTGCTTGCTGTTTCTCCAGAAGTTTCCAGCTTCATCTTGGAGTTATACTTCATCATTGACCAAGTCTCTGCGGACTATAGACGTCGAAGGGGGTTCAACAGCCAACTCGAAACACTACATGGCAAGAGTTCTTCTGCTTGTACCGAAGTAGCTGAATCAACTTCTCGAACTGCAGAATTGTCGAAACAAAAGACATCCAAGCAGCAGGAAATCGACGCCATAGATCAAGATAACGCCTCTATAAGGGCGCAGATCGAGAAGTTGGAGGCCAAGTTAAATGTTAACACCAAGCGCAAAGAGGAACTCCTTTCGACTGTTTCGGACGCAGAGAGCCAAGATGAAGTTACCCGAGGCTTAGAGTTCGTTGAAAGGGCCCAAGCCCTTGACGACCAGATTGCCCAACTTTCTCAGGCGACTGCCTTGTGTAACAAATGGCTGGAGTTGCAGCAAGCCAAATATCTTCGACTTAAAGCTTCCATCCCTTTCTAATTTGCTCAACACCTCATTGACCATGTACTGTAATATTTGTAATACAATGCAACCATTTTGGTTAATCAATATATAATTTTCCATTTTGGCTTTTTATGGTTAACTTGGTCATTAACTGTTATTTATTTTGATCTCTTGGAGCATAGGTTTATATTTTTTCAAATATTTGCCGTTTACTCTCAAGATTCTTTTATCTTCGCCTAACTCTTCAACCTCATAAGCTCCACCAGAAAAAATTTGGATAATTCTGAACGGTCCTTCCCACTTGGGTGACCATTTTCCCATGCTTCGATCTCTTCGATCCATGGGGAGAATCACCTTCCAAACTAATTCTCCAGGCGAGAATGCCTTATGTTTTCCTTTTTTATTGTAAGAGTCTTCCACTCTTTTCTTCTCAATTCTCAGTAGGTCGAGAGCGCGTAGTCTTTCCTCGTCTAAATCTACTAGTTCGTCTAACATCATATCCCAATAAACCTCAGAGGGAATATCTTGATGTCTCTGAACCCTTGCTGATTGAAGACAAATTTCTGCTAGCAGTACTGCGTCATGACCGAAAGTTAGCCGATATGGTGTTGTACCTGTGGCTTCTTTTGGGGACGTTCGACAGGCCCACAAGATCTGGTCTAACGTCTTATGCCAATTTTTTAGTTTCTTTCCTACATGCTTTTTTATCAGGCCGATCACTATTTTATTCGCTGCTTCGACTTGACCATTTGCCTGTGCATAATAAGGTGTTGATGTTAGGAGTCTAAAGCTTGTTTCTTGAGCGAATTCCTGCATCTTTCGACCAGTAAACACTGATCCTTGATCAGTCGTTATAGTCTCAGGGATTCCAAATCTGTAGATAATGTTCTTTTGAATAAATTCAATGACATTTTCCTGGTCTGCATTGACTAAAGGGATAGCTTCGATCCATTTAGTGAAATAATCAATGCCTACCAGTATATACTTCTGGCTCTTTGATGATGCTGGTCGAATCTCTCCAATAAGATCCAACGCCCATCCTCTAAAAGGCCAAGGTTTCACTATTGAGTGAAGTTCGCTTGCTGGTACATGTTGGATGCCCGTATGGGCTTGACATTCTTGGCAACCCTTCGCGAACTCAACACAATCTTTCAAGATAGTGGGCCAGTATAGTCCTTGTCGAAACAACAACCATTTCATCTTATGGCCTACTTGGTGAGCCCCACATGCTCCAGCGTGCATAGTTGAAAGGGCTATGTATGCTTCTGTTTCGCTTAAGCACTTTAGCAATACCACTTCAGGCGTCTTTTTAAATAACTCATTACCCATGAGCACGTAACTCAACGCCCTATATTTTATTTTTCGTTCCGTCAAAGCTGCTGGATTTTGTAGATAATCTACAATGGGTTTCCTCCAATCTTGCTCTGAAAAATTGTCTATGAACGATATTTCAAAGTTCCTTTGATCAACATACCCTAGTCTTATCGATTTCAAATCTGTTGGAGACAGGCTGGTTGCTTTTATTTTTTATCGAACTTTGATTGCTCTTTGTAATCTCGTTTTTGAAATTTTGTACCCAGATGCAATCTGTGCCAAATCATTGGCTACTTGATTTTCCAATCTAGGTATGTGTCGAATGTTAACCACTTCGAATTTTTTCAATAAACGATTTGCTATCACAAAGTACATAATAAGATTTTCTCTTATGCATTTATACTCTTTTGTGACTTGCTTAATGAATAACTCTGAGTCTCCCATTATTTCGACTCGAGTTTCCCCCAATTCCAACAATATCTCAAGGCCAGTAATTAGAGCTTCGTACTCAGCCTCATTGTTCGAACAAGTACCTGCTATCTCGTACTTGAATGTTGTTGGAATTTTTTCTGGAGAAATAATCAAGACCCCTACTCCTGTTCCATCTTTATGGCTGGAACCATCTAAGTAGAATTTCCAAGGCTCTATCTCCACGTAATTTATATTTTCAACCTGAATTGAGTTGTCGACTATAAAGTCTGCTATCACTTGCCCTTTTACTGCCCTAAGAGGCATAATGGTCAATGAATACTCAGTTAATGCTAGCGCCCACTTGCCAATTCGGCTGTGCAAGATGGGTTTCGACAACATGTATTTGAAAACATCAAAATGAGATGAAACATACACATCAACTGGTTTTATATATTGTTTGAGCTTTGTACAAGAGAAATAAAGACATAGACATAATTTTTCAACTTCGCTATATGTAGTTTCTGCATCGTTCAAAACTCTGCTAAGATAGTAAATGGGTCATTCGACTCCATTTTCATCTTCTTGGGCTAACATGCTTCCCAAAGTTCTGTCGGATGCAGCTATGTACAATCTCATACTCCTGTTGCTGCAAGGAGGCACCAAAATAGGTGGCTTGGTGAGATACCCTTTGATCTTGTTGAAGGCTTCTTGTTTCTCTTGCCCCCACTCGAATCTTTCCTTATTCAATCGAAGTAAGGGTGAGAAGGCTTGAGCTTTTCCACTTAGGTTAGATATGAATCTCCTTAAGAAATTTATCTTGCCCAACAGAGATTGCAGTTCCTTCTTGTTCATTGGCGCTTTCGCTTCCAAGATTTCCTTCGTCTTGTTCTGGTTGATTTCGATTCCTTTCTTGTGGACGACGAAGCCCAAGAAATCTCCAGCTTTTACACAGAACGCACACTTCAAAGGGTTCATTTTCAGACCATGTTCTCTCATTCTTTCAAATGATTGTCGAAGGTGGTCTATAAGGTTCTTCCTGGAAACAGATTTTACAACAATATCATCGATATACACTTGCATAAAAGTGTTAATAAAATCATGGAAGATAGAATTCATCGCTCGCTGATATGTTGCCCCAGAATTTTTTAGGCCAAAAGGCATCACTACCTATTCGTAAGTGCCTAAAGCCCCGGGGCATCGAAAAGCTATTTTCGACACATCTTCTTCAGCAATGAAAATTTGATTATATCCTGAGTAACCATCGAGCATGCTCAGGTACTCATGGCCAGCGGCAGAATCGACTAGCATTTCCGCCACAGGCATAGGATATTCATCTTTGGGTGTGGCAGCATTCAAATCTCTGAAATCTATGCATACCCTCAACGTACCATTTTTCTTAATTAGTGGCACAATGTTTGCAATCCATTCGACATACCTCGTAGCTCGTATGAATTTGCACTTCAGCAGTCTTTAGACTTCTATTTTGATCTTCGACAGTATTTCTGGAGAGAAGCGTCTTGGACTTTGCTTGACTGACTTCTTCCCAGGTTTGATTGGCAACTGAAGTTCTACCAATCCTCTGTCGAGACCAGGCATCTCGTCGTAATCCTATGCAAAGCAGTCCTTGAACTCCTTTAACAAATGGATCACTTCAAACCTGAGCTCTGGGTCTATTTTGGCGCTGATGTAAGTTGGCTTTTTCTCTAACCCTTCGCCCAAGTTGATTTCTTCTAAAGGATCCTGCACTAACATTTTGATGTTGTTCGCCAGGGGGTCCTTTTCGAATCCCAAAGGCTCATCGTCATAGATGGCGTCGAGCCTTTGCTCCTGCATTCCTTCTGTCATGATATCAGGAGGTTCTGGGTCGAAATCCTTTCCAGGACCTGTAGAAGATAGCTCTTGATCGTTGGCCTGAGTCGCCATATATTTTACTTCGGCTTCGAGAGCCGCTATCATCCTTATTTCGGCTACATAAGCCGAAATTCGCTGCAGTGATTGTGACTCAGTCATTATCACCGAATTTACTTCCCCAACCAGTTGGCTGGATGTCAGTTAGCCCACTGAAATCAATGTGGGACAAGTCTTCTCTGTCCCATTGAAAACCATGCTCAGGGTGCAGGTACAGGGAACAAAAAGCATTTGGCGTTGGCGCCATGTCGAAGTTAGGTGCTGGGCATGGCCCAATGTGAGCCAAATTTTTGTCGAAGTCAGCTCTCCCCAGGTGATTTACTTCGCCCAAGTAATAGTTCTGATCCGCTTCTATATTTTCGTCAATTCCATCAGGACGCCATAGTATTAACCTTTGTGCATTGATGATGGTACTGCTCCAACACCATGTATCCATTCTCGGCCCAACAAAAGATTATAATTTGGTTTGGCCGATATGACCATAAACATAGTTGGTCGAATGATGGATCCTACTTTGATGTCTAGTTGGATCACACCCATAGTGGTCCCTATTCCGCCTTCATAATTCGACAGGACCATGTTATGAGGCTTGATGTTTTCATCATTCTTGCCTATTTTTCTCAGCATGAAGTGAGGGATGATGTTGATGGTTTCCCCATAGTCCACCAAGATCTTATTTACGGTGGCTTCTTCGAGTTTTGCCCTTATGAATAAAGGCTTGAGGTGATTTTTCATCGCCTCAGTAGGTGGTTCGAAGAAACCATTTTTCTCTTCGGTACGGCCATTATCCATAACGAAGTAGCATACTGGCCTATGCTTGGCCATTTCTTGTTCGACTTCCCAGTCGTTCGATTCGACCTCCATCTGGCGGTTGAACTCTCTTTGCAAGACCGAGACTATGTTCACCATGATATCTAGGGTATCATCAGACTCAGAGCCATCTTCGTCATCAACTTCGCCCTGGTTAGGCCATACCAGTCTATTGGTCACTGGTTGTCTCTCCAGAGGCTTTCTCTGCTTTCGCTGAGGGACATTTGAACTTGATTCTGGCTTTGGTTCGTTGATAGCTTCCCTCTCAGCCTTTCGCCGCCTCTGGTATCTTCTCCATTGGGATCGAGATATGGGATTCTTTCCCTTGTAGTTACTTGATACCTGGGTCACTTTGGAGGCAACAACCTGAGGTTCTTTCTTGTGTGTCAAAGATGAACCTCTTGGCACTTCGAAGGAGTGCCACCTTTCTTTGCTCGGTCTCTTTCGACCCGATGTTTTATGCCACGTATCAACTGGCACATTGGTTGGAGGCCTGAAAGTCAGTGGCCTCTTTTCTTGATTTGAACCCTTTTGGTAGGTTCTTTTGGGGTCATGTCGAACATCAACACCCTCCTTTCTTCTGTTTGTGGCTCTTACATCTTGGATGTGTTCAGCAGCTTTCTTGTCGAAAATCGAGCTGCATCGAGGACACAACATCACTTCTGACTTATTCTTCTGGCATCTTTGCAGGAAATCTGCCAGATTTTCATTTTCCCGAGGGAAAGCCGTTTTGTTTGCTTGCTCTTGCCTAATGGCCTCCTCTGAAGCTTTTGATTCAGAGATTTCGACCATGTTGACATTCATGGTGTCTTTGGTAGCAAGAGTCATCTGCTTCATCTGGGCCTCCAGGTCTTCTGTCTGGCCTTGGACTACAGCCAAGTAGGAACTGGGTTTAGCTCCAGATTTTGAGACTCCAACTGTCTCCAGTTTTGGGCCTTCAGCAGCTTTTTGGACTGCTTCGATTGTTTTTCTAGAAAGATTCCCAGAAAAACTGCCAAAGATTGGCATGTTGATATGATCCTTGGTGACTTCGACCATAGTTATTCCTGGCCTTTTCACCTGACTTCTGGACGCCTCGATCACATTCACCTCTGAAGGTTCAGCATAATGGGCTTCAGCCTGCAAAGGGTTAGAGTCCACAGTCATGGGGGTCTTATCGGCGAATTTCAACCTCCCTTCTTCGATAGCATTTTGTACGAGATCCCTGAAAAGAAAACATTGAGATGTTTTATGGCCCAGAAAATTATGATATTTACAAAAGCCTCTTTTCCTTCTTTGATCAAGAGGAGGCACTTTTACCCCTGGGGGTATTATCATTTGGCCATCTTTTACAAGTAAGTCAAAAATTTCGTCACATTTTGTAATATCAAAACTGTAAGTCTTTTTAGGGAACCTATCGTTGGCCCTTTCAGGACCAGTGGGGTTTTTTCCACTTGAGGGGACTAGTAGTTTGCAAGAGTATGGTGGCCCTTGTTTTAACTCCGCTAAATCGACCTCACTTTCTTCGACGGTTATAGGTTCGTCGAATGTTTCTGGATCTTCATCGTCCATTTCGACATATGCTATCCTTTCTCTTTTATGAGTTTTTGTCGCCCTGGCTTTTTCAGCTTTAAGGCGTTCTACCTGTCGAACCCTATCGGCCAATTGGGCCATGTCTCTCAGGTATTGAGTGTTTAATTTCTTCCTAATGGAATAATCTAGACCTCCTGCGGCTATTTCGACTAACTCATGTTCTGGCACTTGCGTAAAGCATCTTGCTTTGAGCAACCTAAACCTATTTAGATATTCGTCTATAGGTTCAGTGAATCTCCTCTTTACACTGGCCAATTCTTTCAGGCTTATCTTGGTTTGTCCCATGTAGAATTGCTCATGGAACAATCTCTCCAACTGGGTCCAATGGTGGATCGAATTGGGGGGAAGAGTTGTGAACCAAGTAAACGCGTTCTTTGTTAGGGAACTTGGGAAATACTTAATCCTCAGGTTTTCATTGTTTCAAATCTCTCCTGCTTCGATCAAGTATCTCGCCACATGTTCGACAGTGGATTCTGTCGTGTCCCCTAAAAATTTAGTGAACTTAGGGACTTTGCATCTAGGTGGTAACTCCGTTTGTAACACATATTCTGACAGTGGGGATGTAAAGTTGAGCCTACGGAAGCCCGTATTCATCCCATTTTGCATCATGATTCTTTCGATCATGGCTGTCAAGTTATTTTCCAAACCAATATTCTGGTATTGGATCTGCTGAACTACTTCGTCAGCATTTTGGTTTCTATTGACTATCCTTACTTCCGGGGCTATGACTCTAGGTTCTTCGACCCCGGTTTGTTCCATTCGCATCCTAAGGTTTTCTTCGACAGGTTGCTGGACTTGGTTAATAGTGGTTTCTTCCTCTAGAAGTATACCTTGGTTTCCCCTCATCTGTGCCCTTTGGAGCTGTCGAATAGGTTGGGGTACCCCAAAAAAATCGGCCAGACGCGCCATTTACGCTGTCATTTGCTGATTCGACTGGGTGGTATTTTGTATTAGAGGATTTAGCATTGTGCTTAAAGTTTGTGCCAACATTTGAACCATATCATGGTTGCTTTCGTCCATTTGCTGCCTCAAGACTGCTGTCGAGGCATTCGTAAGGCCATGCATTATTTGGGACGTTCCTCCTAAGAGTTGGGTCCTACCCCTGTTCTCCATACCAACTCCAGAACCTTGGAGTGGCGAAGAGGCGCTCACTAAAGGGTCTGAAAAAGTGGACGCAGCATTCGTCAGGCTAGCCAATTCAGAAGTTGGCATGCCATATAGTGGTTCTCGATTTAGACCGACTGTCGAAAACCCTGGGGGAACATAAGGCCTAGTTCCTTGGTTTCCCCTTGGTGGGGGAGTTCCCAAAGGCATTCTGGGGCCAGTAAATGGAGGTAATGGCCCCGTTTGTGTGACCGTTACTGCTGGTGTTGAACCAGCGGTTACCATTTCACTTACGGTTGGGATGACCGTTGTTCCCACGTTTGTTTGTGGGATTTCGCCATTGTTTGGCGGATTCGCCATCGCTTCTCTTCTTCTCCTAGTATTGGTATCGTTGGTGTATATTCTACCACTTCTCAATAACATGCAATACTCTCGAAAAAGGAGGATATTTTGTATAAAACGGTTAAACTTAAAAATCAACACAAGGTCCCACCAGGTGTGCCAATTTTTTTACCGTGGAAATTGGTAAACAACCGCTGATCTTCCAAAAGGTTACTTATTTGGTGACTCGCAGGATCGATCAGATTGATCCTAAGACATGGTTGATTTTCTGGAGTTTGACTAATCCTAATGGTGATTAATGCCGGTAAAGTAAAGACACTTTAAGTAAATTGCATGAAGAAAAGCTTGATAGAATAAATGAAAGCGTTAAATAAAAGGCT